AAAAAAAAAAAAAAAAAAAAAAAAAAAAAAAAAAAAAAGTTCGCAGACCCCGGCAGACGAGAAAAAAAAGAAAAAAGAAAAAAAAACGACCGCCACCTCCTGCTTTTGCCAATCACTGAACGGGTACGCCGTCGAACGCACAGTTTACTGTTTTTCTTGCAGTTTCGAACTGATCTTCGCCCAAGTTTCCAGTGGACTGTTATTCCTTCCTGCGAATTCGAAACTGTGGACAGTTATTCCTGCGAATTTGAAACTGTGTAGCAATCACCCGCGCAGTTACTTCAATTTAAAAAAACGATGCTTCAAAAGTCTTGCGAAAAAGCATCAAACTTCAAACTGAAAATATGTTGTGCAAGTGTCAATTGACACCAAAACAGGACAAGCAGCCCAATGTATCTGAAACCATTGAATTCCGGCCCTGCAGATTTGTAGCCTTCACAAACTTTCTCCTATGCTTGAGTTGAAGGTCCCTCCTGAGATCTTACAGCTGCTAATACAGAAGCATTTATCTGATGCCAAATATGCCAGAGAACTGTGGCTCTGAAAGCTTCATCCACGCCAGGCAGTGACATTAAATAGACCATCTTTGCAGAATGCTGAGTCAGGAACAGAATTTGACCAGATGGTTCACGGGCGTCTGGCCAATACCAATCTCTTGGATCTAGCGTAAGGACTTTGGCTGCAGACTGCAGTATAAAGTACAATCTCTTGTATCTAGCGTAAGGTCTTTGGCTGCACTATAAAGTACTACGTACGGTAGATAGTCTAATCTAGCAGTACTCTTCTGCTGCTCCAAGACACGAACTGCGGTCATTTCAACTCATTTGTGTGAAAACTGAACAGACCGGGGCGGCACGTAGTCTCCTAAGGGAGGTCCCCAGCCCTCGATGGCCGTTTGTCACTTCCCATCAAGTCCTTTCCCATTGAGTTAAGTTCTCTCTCAGTTGTATATCATGTTTCCACAGAATCTGATGTTGAATGTGATCATCAGTGTCTTCTCAAAACCATTTTGCTGACACTGGCTGACGTGAATAATGGGGTACTAATGGGGGCTGTGCTGTGATTAATATGGACCCCGTCAGTCGGGACGGCTTGTAATGTATGCGACGCAGTTTTTCACTCTCCATTGTCTCCAATCCCTTAGTGGGCTTCTAATGTATGAGACATTTTATTTTCTGTTTTCCAACTTAGCGTGGTTTACTTCCATAGATGAGTGAGCGGGCCAACAACCCCTAGCTTTGAGGAAGGAATTTCGTCTCAAAGGGTTCCTAACTAGGATTTTCGACAACACCCTCAGGAATTTTTCCTCAGTAAAAGGAGGGTGCTGGGATTTATGGGTCAGACTGTTTAATATTGGCCTGGGTACCGGGTATGGACGACGCCCCAAGATACAGCATCCCATCGGCTTCAGACCCCCGTAATTTTTTTCCCGCCCCACCTTTCCATCTGTTTCTGGCCGCCCATAGGTGCCTCCTCAACGGACTCCTCCCGCTCCTTTTTTCTGTAGCTTCTCCCCCCCCCTTCTTTTGCTTTTCCCGCATTTTTAAAATGAGTCCTATCTACGTCATCAGTACGCGACACTCCGCATCTTCCCTCACCCCGCTCCTGTTTGTCTCATCCCGCAGTCCTCTGGGCATGACAATCCTGGCATCTCATTCGGCTCTATACACCTGCTCAGCATACCGCGCCGCTCTCCAGAACATCCGCTACGACTTTCCTACGCGTCACAATCAGCATCTCTCTCCAGCTGATTCATCACGGATCTGACTACATCTCTGGCATCCCGTTCTGCCTCCTACATCGGCGCTCCGCCATCTTTCTTTGTCCGGTTTCGCCTTCTTCTGACTACCCACTGCGTACCGTGTGCTTTCTCTGCGTTCCCCTCCCGCCTCCTCCCACGCAATTTCTCAACTTCTATGCTTCCCATGTTTCTCCTGTTTCTCTCCCCTATGGCTAGATTCAGAAGTTACTCAGATTGCGGCAGCAGGTCTCTTGGAGCCACTGGCTACCATACGACGGACACTATGTGGAGGTTTCAGCTGCGATGGTGGGATCAACTACGCTACAGTTCGAGTATTTAAGGCTTGGGAGGTAGTCTGTTCCTTAGCGCACTTCGAAGTCCCCTGATGTTGGCTGCTCACGGACGCAGCCGAAACGCGTCGGGACGTCCGTGACTGGAATCCATGTTCGTCACTCATATTTTTTTGCATTCCAGTATTTTTCATGCGCTAAGGATTGTGTTGCGCTTTCTCTTCTTTATCCTCCGCACTCTTTCCTTTTCTCTCTCTCTCTCTCTCTCTCTC